CTGCTTCAATGAACTGGACTTCTATTTCTTGTTACTCTATTATGTGAATGGTTTTGACTTTGTGCAGGGCTCACTCATTTGGTATGTATCCGTGCCGAGGCATGCATAGATGTACGTATCCATGCTGAGATTCACTGACTATCACGGAGGAGGTTTACTTCCGAGGTAACTTCTCAATAAATGGACTCTTCAGTGCAGCCCAAACTCATTTTGTTCTTAGACCCTATGTGCTTTTGCTTGCACTCGGGTTTTGCACAGAGCCATTTATCACATCATGCTTGACTTTTCCCTTCTCTCTGCTTGAGTGCCCGGGGCTGCCCAAGGCTCCCATTAACTCCACATCTGCCCCAAAGCCGCTGGAAACCCTTTTGCTTGGATAAGCCCTGGGGCAGATTGGTTGGGCTTGTGATGAAGAGCGAAACAGCCTTAAGAAGGAAGAGTCTTAATACTTTAATGAAAGGTTTCAGATTCATATGAGCAATTTTAAACTAGAGGCTTGCTTTTCTTTCACAATTACATAGATCAGCCCTTCAGGTTCCCCTTGTAAAACCTGCCGGGAATCATGGCATTCCCTGACTTTTCTTTGTCCCGCTTTGGTTTCTCTAATGAGATGATGAAGCATCTCATGGTTTGTTAAGATACAATACATGAAAAAGGTGTTTAAAGCTGTTGATTCAGGACGGGAAGCCAGGTAATCACAGTTGCTTACAACCTGTGATGTGGTGTATCCTGCCCTCTTCAGCACACGAGCAATCACTGGAATCAGGAGGCAATACTGAGATTTCGAGTCCGAAAATGGCAAAATCATCCAGCAGCAAGTGGAAGATGTTCAGAGCCAAGGGAGCTGCCCCTGTGGCTGCAATGGGACTGGAGGCTGCCCTGGTTGACCCCAAGGTGGAGGGGTTCCACATGCTCAGGAAAAGGCAGGGGCATGAGGAAGCCCTTTGCTGAGAGAGCTGCCAGAAAAAGAATCACAGAATCCCAGCCTGGTTTGGGTTGGGGGGGACCTTAAAGCTCCTCCAGCTCCAACCCCTGCCACGGGCAGGGACACCTTCCACTAGAGCAGCTTGCTCCAAGCCCCTGTGTCCAACCTGGCCTTGAACACTGCCAGGGATGGGGCAGCCACAGCTTCTCTGGGCACCCTGTGCCAGCGCCTCAGCACCCTCCCAGGGAAGAGCTTCTGCCTAAGAGCTCATCTCAGTCTCCCCTCTGGCAGGTTAAAGCCATTCCCCTTGGCCTGGCCCTACAGGCCCTTGGCCAAAGCCCCTCTCCAGCTTTCTTCTTGGTCCATTTAGGTATTGGAACACTGTTACAAGGTCTCCTTGTACAAACACAGCCATATACTGCCGGAAGAGACACTTACAGGAAAGAATATTTTCTCCCCAGACAACTTTCTTACGTGATTGTTTGTTTGCTGTTTGATGGTGCTTTTCTTTCAGAACCTACCCAGAGGAAAAAGTGAAGAGCTGAGCTGTCAGTTCTTCTTACTCCTATTTGATGTGGTCCAGGTCAGCGTGTGAGCAAACCCCTAGTACAGGATGCTCACCTACACACTTGGGCACTTTAAAGAACTTTTACATAGATATTTACTACATTCAGACTGAGAGAATCACAGAATCATAGAATAGTTCGGGTTGGAAAGGACCTTAAGATCATCCAGTTTCAATCCCCTGCATGGGCAGGGACACCTCACACTAAACCATGGCACCCAAGGCTCTGTCCAACCTGGCCTTGAACACTGCCAGGGATGGAGCATTCACAACCTCCCTGGGCAACCCATTCCAGTGCCTCACCACCCTCACAGCAAACAACTTCCTCCTTATATCCAATCTAAACTTCCCCTGTTTAAGTTTTAACCCGTTACCCCTTGTCCTGTCACTACAGTCTCTAATGAAGAGTCCCTCCCCAGCATCCCTATAGGGCCCCTTCAGATACTGGAAGGCTGCTCTGAGGTCTCCACTCAGCTTCTCTTCTCCAGGCTGAACAGCCCCAGCTTCCTCAGCCTGTCTTCATACAGGAGGTGCTCCAGTCCCTTGATCATCCTCGTGGCCTCCTCTGGACTTGCTCCAACAGCTCGATGTCATTTTTATGTTAAGGACACCAGAACTGCACACAATGCTCCAGGTGAGGTCTCACGAGAGCAGAGTATTGTCTTAATGAGAAGCTCCAGGGTACAGTCACGAGACATTTCATGAGATTGCTGATAAAATCCATTGCTCTTTCACAAAGCACTTTAATGGGAAAAAAAAAACAACCCCAGCTAGCAATAAGCATCAAGGAGCTAAGTTTATATCACAAACTCATGGCTAGCATAGCAAAGAGTCTGTGCTGATCATCAGCTGTGAAGAGGTCAGGCAGCCATGGTAGGGACCAGCTCAGCTGAAACATGGTTGTTTCTTAGTCTGAACCAAAATTAATGAGCTCACCTTAACAAAACGATGGAAAACTCACAGCCTGAAGAGTCTGTGGGCTCAGGGTGAGCAGAAACACCTGTAGGTTAAGCCCATAATGAAAACAAAATACCATGTATCAGTTCTATCACAACCTGACAGTCATAAATGAACCGAGCCATTGGCAGAGATAATAGCAGGGAATCTTTCAGCAAGCACAGCAGTAATCACTAAAATAGTAATGAAACATCTTCCCTTTCATCGGGTTATACAGGTGATAAAGAAGTATTTTCCTTAAAAAAAAATCCATGTTAAATATGTAAAAATAAACAGATATCTAAGTCATGTGTAGTCATTTTGAAAGGTTTGATCTTGTGAAAAGAATACACTAATCCTTTCCAGTAGGTATGAGATGGGCATTGTAAAAGCTACTGCTGCAGGTAGGAGTAGAGAGTGGTCCCTATTTAGCCATATGATCTCAAAGCCAATACCAGGTAGATAGTATTGTCATTATATTGGTCTTTTTCACTACTTCATTATAACATTTCCCCTCTACCACCCCCACTTCTGCAGCTCTTCATTCAGCACTTATTGGAACTCACTCTACAACCACTGTCTCTTGAGTCAGCTTATGGTAGTATTCATCTGGTCAGGGCACAGGGTGCTCAGAGAACCTGTGGCTGCCCCATCCCTGGCAGTGTTCAAGGCCAGGTTGGACACAGGGGCTTGGAGCAAGCTGCTCTAGTGGAAGGTGTCCCTGCCCGTGGCAGGGGTTGAAGCTGGAGGAGCTTTAAGGTCCTTTCCAAACCAAACTGCTTTGGGATTCTGTGATCCTATGAAAAGATGCCTTTTCTGTTACTTTCATGTAAAAACTCCAAGGCAGTGACTAGAATGTGGAAACTTGGCTTATGTACTGGTTTTACCTATACAGTTAGCCATATAAAATTTGCTAGTTCCTATTCTGTTTTGCCAGCATAATAATCCTGGGAAGCCATGTCTTAACACAGTAAAGCACGGGGAAATCATAATGCTTAGGAGGGATGAATTGCATGCAAGAATCAGAGTGGATGAAAATTGACTAAAAAATAGAAATAAAGATGATTTATCACATTCTGTTTGTGCTTATTATGGGCTCTTCCTCAGTGATAATCGCTCTAAAAATACAAAATTATTGCTTTTGCAATCAGATTAAAATAGAACTGAAACTAAAATATAAGGAATTAAGACCAGTAAAATAATCCTGGTTGATTTCTTAGGAAATTAAAACTCTGTTTGCAGCTACTCTCTGCTTTTACCTGCTTAACCAGCAAGAACTGAAGGCACAGACTGCACGTGGTGTTGGGAACTTACCATCAGACTTTTCCATTGCTCCAAGTTAACTCAGCAGACACCCCATGGGCACTGCTCACACACAGCTAAATCCCTTGCACCCTTACCACTTAATTCTATCTGGATGAAAAAACAGTCTCATTCTTTATTTCCACAAGTTTATCCTTGAATAATGAAACCAGGCTGCTATTTGTTGCCAGTACAAGAACATCCCCTGTAAAAGGCACAGCTACCATAACCACGTTATTTCCTCAACTCTTCCATAAGGTATTAACCTAAATCTAATTCTCCAGAGTGTCCTGGCTGAAATGAACCATGAACAAGATTTTTAGCTCTGTTTAGGTACTCCCTCAACGAGTGAAACCTTTTCAACCCCACCTCCAGTTGATTTGGGGGAAAATGGTGGAAAGATGCTGTTTCCTTGATAGTACATCCATCCCCAAACAGTTAACACCGCAGCAGGCACCAAGCTGGCTCTGAACTTCAGCAAGGGGGAGATTCCTAATGATTCCAAGATCGGGAGATGCCAGAAATGGCATCTAGTTGCAAGAGCACCCTGTACTCTCACTCATGTCAGATGTCTCACCACTCATACACAAAGTTTTACGCCCTTACATGCTTTGAACACACACACACCCCCCACATAGATGAAGCTGTTGACAGACGTGTCCATGAGGCTCCATGCCCTTTCCCTTTCTGTCTGCAGTGACGGGTCATACATGGATCTGCAGTTGCATTTAGCACTTCCTCACTCGCATTCCCCCATTCCCAGGTACGTCATTCCTCATTCTGCACTGAAGCAGGCTCTCATCAGCCAGTCCAGACCCAGGGTGTCTGCAGCATCCCCCTCTAATTACAGCATCCCACTGCAATATCCCATCCCACTGCAGCATTTCACCCCACTGCAGCATCCTCTCACCCCTTTCCACTGCAGTCTGCAGCTTCCCAGGTACTGCAGACTCATTACCTGGCACAGCTCTTCATTCAAGCAGTGTTTTTGCTTAGAGGGTTTGCAACTTTCTCCAGCTAGATTGATTTATTAGAAAAATTCACCTTTTCTTTCCAATACACAAAAATAGAATTAGAGTAGAACAGAAGCACAAAGAGACACGAATGATGGCCTCCATCCATTGAATCATCATCTGAAATGGTCCCTGAAGAAAAGTTCTGGCAATATGGCATTAATTGTCCATGGACTTGCTGTGCTGTTACAAGGACCCCAGTGGGAAACCCTGAAGCACCTGCACTCCCCAGGTTCTCCTCACTGTGTTCTGCTGCTGTCCCAGGGCAAGCAGTCTCAAGGTGAAAATAGAGTTCAACCCACACAGTTGGATCCAGAGCTTTGTATCCTGAAGCAGAAGATGTGTGTTGTGTGAAATCAGTTCTGCCCCAGAAGGTCAGTGTCTTGGGAAGGGTCCTCCAGCTCTGCCAGGGCAAGAGTTTCTCCATCTTTCCTGTTTAAAAGTGTGTGCCCACTCCTTGGCCAATGGATTTCACAGTCCAAAGGCAGCTTTGCATGATCTGAATGCTATTTTCACTAAGACATGAATAAAAAAGCCCTCCCCCCCCCGTTTATCACAGCACAAGGCTACCTCCCCTCTTCACTCGACATGACCTGCTCACCACAACCCTCAGCCACCTTACAGGCAGTTTAAAATGCAACTAAAGGCAACATTCACTTTCAGCATTTCACTTTTGGAGCTGGATGAGCCTTAAGGTCCCTTCCAACCCAACCCATTCTGTGATTCTGTGACCTCTGGGAAGTCCAGGCTGCAAACCCAGCACCCATCAAGCACCAACCCTGACCCACCCAGGGGGCTGCAGCCAGGGCTGTTGTGGGGGTTATGCTCTCCTCCTGGCTGCGAAAGGGGAGAAAACCACCCTGGACACCCACAGCGCAGGAGGTTAAAGCCTTTCCAAGGTTTCTGAGGGACAGAACAGTGTGAGAGAGGAGGGAACGCAGCCTCGACGGCTTCATTCCGCGCCCAGCACACCCCGAACCCCGCTCCCTTCCTCCTGCACCTCTTCATTTACCGATTACACGCAAAAAAAAAAACCCAAACCCGTCCATTTACAACCCCGATCCTCTCCCGTGCCGCACTCACACCGCAGCCCCGTACAGCGGGGTCCCACCGCCGGCGGGGCAGGACCCGCCGCTCCCCTCGGCCGCGCCAGCCTCAGCCCGTCTCCTCCTCCTCCTCCTGAAGTTGCCGTTATCGAACATCTTCTCGCAGTTGGGGTCGAGGGTCCAGTAGCTGCCTTTGCCTGCGGAACACATGAAGGGTCCGGCGCTGCGGAGGGGGCCGCTCCGGCCGGGTCCCATCACACCCCCTCCACCCCGCTTACCCGGGTCGTCCTCGGCCCGCGGCACCTTCTTGAAGCAGTCGTTGAGGGAGAGGTTGTGGCGGATGGAGTTCTGCCAGCCCGCCTTGCTCTTCTTGTAGAAGGGGAAGTTCTCGGCCACGTACTGGTAGATCTGGCTGAGGGTCCGCCGCCGGCCCGGCGCGCTGTGGATGGCCATGGCGATGAGCGCCGAGTACGAGTAAGGCGGCCTGGCCGGCCGCGGGCACTCCTGAGGGGGGCTCAGCGCCGCCCAGCCCCGCTCCGGGCCCGGCGGGAGGAGCGGCCCGCTGGGGACGTAGGGCCCGGTGTGGCCGCCGAGCCACAGGTAAGGGCTGGCGGCGGGCGGCGGCCGAGCCGGAGGGCAGAGGCCGGGGCACACGGCGGCCTCCAGCAGCGCCTGGGCGTGAGGCGGCGGCGAGGCGGGCGGCACGAAGGGGTGCATGCTCCGGCGGCTCCGCGCCGCACCGCGCTAACGCCGCTTAAATAGCGCCCGCGGGTGCGGACGGCAGCCAGGGGATACCCCCACCGCAGCCACCCCATCCCCGCCCCACGCGTGCCCTCCGCCCAGCCCCGGCCCTTCCGTCCCGTTTGAGTGCATGGGGCTCCGGACCCCGCGGTGGGCATCGCCCGGTCCGGTTGCCCTGGGAAGAGTTGGAACAGGGGGGATTTGGGAAAGCAGAAGGGTGAGAGCCAGCGGCTGGTAGCACCTTGCCAACAAGGGCAATGAATCTGCCACATGAGCCTTTGTCCCGTAGCAAAGAGATGAGCAACAAGGGGGAATGGGTTCAAACTGAAACAGGGGAGATTTAGGTTGGATACAGGGGGGTTGGAACTGGATGATCTTCAGGTCCTTTCCAACCCTAACTATTCTATGATTCTATCAGTCTGAATGTAGTAAATGTCTATGTAAAAGTTCTTTAAAGTGCCCAAGTGTGTAGGTGAGCATCCTGTACTAGGGGTTTGCTCACATGCAGTCCTGGACCACATCAAGTAGGAGCAAGAAGAACTGGCAGCTCAGCTCTTCACTTTTTCCTCTGGGTAGGTTCTGAAAGAAAAGCACCATCAAACAAGCAAACAATCACGTAAGAAAGTTGTCTGGGGAGAAAATATTCTTTCCTGTAAGTGTCTCTTCCGGCAGCATATGGCTGTGTTTGTACCAGGAGACCTTGTAACAGTGTTCCAATACCTAAATGGACGAACAAGAAAGCTGGAGAGGGGCTTTGACCAAGGGCCTGTAGGGCCAGGCCAAGGGGAATGGCTTTAACCTGCCCGAGGGGAGACTGAGATGAGCTCTTAGGCAGAAGCTCTTCCCTGTGAGGGTGCTGAGGCGCTGGCACAGGGTGCCCAGAGAAGCTGTGGCTGCCCCATCCCTGGCAGTGTTCAAGGCCAGGTTGGACACAGGGGCTTGGAGCAAGCTGCTCTAGTGGGAGGTGTCCCTGCCCGTGGCAGGGGTTGGAACTAGTGCTGCAGCTCCTGCATCTCCCATGCAATGGGATCACGTCCTACACCCCATAACCACTGTTGCAGTCCAGACACGCACATCAGAAGCTCAGATCAGAAAGCCCCAGACTGCCAAGGGGTATTTGCACAGAGGGTTCAGGTACCTTTTTCACTTGACTTAGAATCACAGAATCCCAGCCTGGTTTGCGTTGGAAGGGACTTTAAAGCTCATCCAGCTCCAACCCCTGCCATAGGCAGGGACACCTTCCACTAGAGCAGCTTGCTCTAATCTAAATCTAAATTTATAACTCTAAATTCTAAAATTGCTCATCTTTGATGGAAGACATATCATGATTTGAAGAAAAAGTGACTTTAATTTGCATTTCTATATATTCTTTTCCTAGAGAGTACATCTGCCTTTCTGAAACTTCAGACCCTTTCTAAGAAACTGATAAAAGGCATGGCTTTATCAGTAGGTAGAGCTGTATAAAGCGAAATATAAATGGGATAGTGATCAGTGGTAGAGAATTGAAATCCTTCAGGTGGCATCTCATACAACTAAAATCATCTCCAATTCTTAATCTGCCCATCTCTATTTTGGGGCTGGGAATGCAGGAGTGAAAGTCCATCTGTCTCGCTGGATCTTTGTGTAGTCAATATTGTCCTTATGCCTGAAGTATTTCTTTCTAAACCACATTATTTATTACAGGTCGGCATTCCCATGGCAGGTCTGTCTAACCTGGTATTCCTCTGGGCATGGCTCAGAGCAGAGCATAGAATCCCAGCTTGGCTTGGGTTGGAAGGGACCTTAAATCTCCTCCAGCTCCAACCACCTTCCACTAGAGCAGCTTGCTCCAAGCCCCTGTGTCCAACCTGGCCTTGAACACTGCCAGGGATGGGGCAGCCACAGCTTCTCTGGGCACCCTGTGCCAGCGCCTCAGCACCCTCACGGGGAAGAACTTCTGCCTAAGAGCTCATCTCAATCTCCCCTCGGGCAGGTTAAAGCCCTTTGTCCTCTCAGTGCTTCAGGGATGCAAGGAACACTCAGGAGATCAGATTTCTTCCTAATGGAAGGCAGTTTGTCGGTAGATTCCACCCTGGAGCATGAATGTCATAACCCATTTTGCACATAAATATATCTAAATACATATATATATGTATACAAACATACAAGTTCCAAGGCAAAGATTTATCTTTAACAGCCTCTTAGGGCCATCCTGGAATCTCCTGGGCTGTACCGGTCAGCACAGCAGTACTCCAACAGCACAGCTTCACCGGAGACTCATGGCCTGCCCTTTGCTATGCCACAGTAGTGTTCCAGGGAAGGTTTATTCCACTGCCCTCCAGCAAGGAATACCTCTTTGTCCATGCTTTGGGAAAATGGTTCAGAAAACCAAGTTGGTTGCCAGTGCCTGTCGGAACTTGCATTTCTGGGTGGAAATAAAGAGTTAAAAACCATTGTCTACTAATGTAAAGTCTGCACTGAATGCTCCTGTATGCACACTGCAGAATTAGAAGTACCTAATTCGTTCCACTGAGTATTCATCTGAATACCAGGTATTTAGGCATATTTTAAGAAGCAGCAGATCAACCAGTGTGGCTGCCTGTGGATGCTGCTCTTCCTTGGATAGCCTGCTCAGTTTTCCATGGCATTCCTTGTCCACATGCTGCCTGCCTATGTGTCAACTACAGCTACAACCACAGGGATAAGTGAAATGTGTGCTTGTAACCATCAGGCTGAGCCAGACCAGCTTCACTGATACTACTCCTGTTAGTCCAGTGTGGACTGGGTGAATTTGCCTGTGAGTTTTAGGCATCTACTGTGAAAACAAGAGGATTTATACCTAAATATTCTATTTCCTAAATAATATATGTTTTAAATGTCTGAATTTACAGGTCTGCACAGAGCTCATTAAATACTCCCTTCTCAGCTGAGCTGACACCTGAGACATAAAAACACCGATGCACAAAGTATTTGTTAATGCTGACTTCTTTCTGCTTCACAGAAACCCTTTTATAAGGAAGCAGTAATTCCAGGTAAACGCACAAACATAGAATCATAGAATAGTTAGGGTTGGAAAGGACCTTAAGATCATCCAGTTCCAACCCCCCTGCCATGGGCAGGGACACCTCACACTAAACCATGCCACCCAAGGCTCTGTCCAACCTGGCCTTGAACACTGCCAGGCATGGAGCATTCACAACCTCCCTGGGCAACCCATTTCCAGTGCCTCACCACCCTCACAGTAAAGAACTTCCTCCTTATATCCAATCTAAACTTCCCCTGTTTTTTAACCCGTTACCCCCTGTCCTATCACTACAGTCTCTAATGAAGAGTCCCTCCCCAGCATCCCTATAGGCCCCCTTCAGATACTGGAAGCTGCTCTGAGGTCTCCACACCGCTTCTCTTCTCCAGGCTGAACAGCCCCAACTTCCTCAGCCTGTCTTCATACAGGAGGTGCTCCAGCCCCTGATCATCCTCGTGGCCTCCTCTGGACTTGTTCCCACAGTTCCATGTCCTTTTTATGTTGAGGACACCAGAACTGCACACAATGCTCCAGGTGAGGTCCCACAAGAGCAGAGTAGAGGGGCAGGATCACCTCCTTCACCCTGCAGATCATGCTCCTTTTGATGCAGCCCAGGATACAGTTGGCTTTCTGGGCTTCGAGCGCACATAACTCTTTTATGGTAAAGGAGTTAACACAGCAAAAATACTTCTTGTCGTGGAATGTGGAGCTTTTCACAGCTTAACTTTGCTCTCTCTGCAATTTCACGAGCATTTGCAGGGTGAGGAGTATGTTGTGATGGGCTGATCAAGAGGTGGCAATCTCTGCCAGGTCTCTGGTTTGTGTTTCCAATGCTGTGGACTGTTTCCAGCAGGTGTTCTCACCATCGTGTGCTTTGTTACCCATTGCCTGGCAGTGTGAGAGACGTGGTTGTTCCCAGACACACCTGAGAAACCACAGCATCACTGAATCCCAGCCTGGTTTGTGTTGGAAGGGACCTTAAAGCTCATCCAGCTCCAACCCCTGCCACAGGCAGGGACACCTTCCACTGGAGCAGCTTGCTCCAAGCCCCTGTGTCCAACCTGGCCTTGAACACTGCCAGGGATGGGGCAGCCACAGCTTCTCTGGGCACCCTGTGCCAGCGCCTCAGCACCCTCCCAGGGAAGAGCTTCTGCCTAAGAGCTCAGCTCAGTCTCCCCTCTGGCAGGTTAAAGCCATTCCCCTTGGCCTGTCCCTACATCCCTTGTCCCAAGCCCCTCTCCCGCTTTCCTGCAGCCCCTTTAGGCCCTGGAGCTGCTCTCAGGTCTCCCCTTCAGGAGCCTTCTCTTCTCCAGGCTGCCCCAGCCCAGCTCTCTCAGCCTGGCTCCAGAGCAGAGCTGCTCCAGCCCTCGCAGCATCTCCGTGGCCTCCTCTTACCCCACTCCAGCAGCTCCCCGTCCCCTCCGCACCCCTCGCACCCTGCGCTCGGTGACTCGCGGGGCGGTGCTGCCACCCAGCGGCCCAGCGGCGCTCCGCGGCTACGCGATGGAAGCGGCTCAGAAATGGAGGGGGGAGTTGGATCCCGATCCCGATCCCATCCCGGACTGTGGACCGGCGGCTGTGAGCGCCCGACCCCTAGCATGGGCTGCAGTGGAAGCCACAAGGGAGACAGGAGCATTTCGTCCTGACATCGCTGTCCGCGGCTTCCCGAGGAGGGGTTGGGGAGGGGGGTGCTGAGCTCCCCTCTGGGATCCAGGGACAGGATGCCTGGGAATAGTCCGAATAATTCGCTTGAACAAAACATTCGATGCTTTCCTGGCAAAGCTGATTGAAATGCGCGTGGTTTGCACCATAACAGCGCTCAGATTCGTCCTGAAGCATCAGACGTTAGAAACAACTCCCCTCACTTAAAACAAAGTGGAATATACACACATGGTGAGAAACAGCAAACAAGCAATCTAACATAAAGTATCCAGAGTTTATCAAACCAGAAAGAAATGCAGCAAATACAAATAGCAATCCAAATATTATTTTCAATTCAACTATGCTTATTCAGCATGAAAATGATTAGCTAACAAATATCTGTTTCCAGGTCAATCAGGCTT